GTGGCGGTGGCGGCGGCAGTTGCAGTACTGCAACGCAGCAGCAAGAGGCGAGGAGGAGGAGCAGTGGTACAAGCAGGTGTTATTAGTAGGAGTAGAGTAGCGGTTACGGTAGCAGAGCAGTAGCAGTAGTGGAGGAATGCGGGGGTTAGGGTCTCAAGTTTAGGACCTGAGAGCTGGTTTATTGCATGACAAGGTCTATAGGCATGTCTAAGAGCCAAGTATGGCCAGCACGGCCATGACCTACCAACGCGCGACATGAGCTTCCGCAAACACGCCGCAAACACAACGTGCTGCCACCACGGACCTTACGCAGCATGTTGCTCTGCAGCCGGCAGCATGCCAGCTGCGACTGAAGATATGCAATGAACAGCCTAAGACAGCATGAATCCAGCACCCAGTTGTCGTCTCTCCGCCAGCTCCCCGCAAGAATGGGAAGCCAAGTGGTGGCGCTAGGACTTGACTGAAGGTTTAGAATAGCAACCTGAAAAGACCCTGAATGAAATTAAAAACTCCCTAGAGCTGCGGAACTCTACAGCATCCCAGAAATCTCAGTCTACTGATTATGATAGGGTTATATAGGGATAGTTTTGGGATAATATAGGGATAATGGAAAAGAACATGGAAACTGCTATAGTATATCAATGTCATACTAACAAAGATGACCACAAGCACTATCAGAAGACTCACGAGACAGACTACTGTGGCCGCTCGCGCTGATTTGATTTCTGGACCACTTACTCACCACAGTAACTAGAAACATTCCGCCCGGAGCCTCTGTCGGATTTTAGACGGAGGCAGCGCTCGGCGCGCCGAAATTCGGCGCGAAGGCGGCAGTTGCGGAAGGGGCTCAGGTAAGGCCTTGGGCAAGATCAGGGCAGAAGGGAGTGCAAGACTTCATGGGGTTACGATGAGATCCCCAGTACATAGTCCCCACGAAGTTAAGGGATTATGAGGTTTTCTCAGCACGGGGGTGGCCTAGGGACCCCAAGGATTACCCTAGGGATCCAGATAGCCCAATGTAGGCATTTTGGGGCCCAAAATGGCCCAAAGTAGGTATTATTACATACTGCACTTGGATCTCTAGGGTTGGCTTACGAGCGCTACCCGCATGGAGGAGCCTGGTAATAGTGAAAATAGAAATAGCAATCATAGTTCATAATAGTCAAGTCTTCCATGTACGTGATAATCAACGATGCGCAAGCATGAATCATGAGTTTACTTGAATAGCCCATTATCCTTTTTGACCTCCTTGGCTACAAGCAGAGCGCAGTCGTTCGACGAGCCCACATTGTGACTCAACACTTGTGGTTCGCAACCGGGCCCAGGTGGTCAGAAAAGAGGATCCATCAGATCTGTACATTCCTCATTTGTGGATCGGGGCCGAACAAGTTCCAACACGTCACCGCGTTATAGAACCTAGCTTTGGCTAAAGATCTGTGCATCTCCTCCCAATCACTGGAAAGAGGAGCCAAAGGCTTGGAGGGGGTTCTCACAGAAAAGCGCATGACAGAGTGACTTCTAATCCCTAGATATCTCTAGGTCTAGGTTCCCGAAGAGCCCAATGTCTTGAGAAACCCACACTGAGACATCCATCACTTGGTGGGCGCTTAGCCATGTATGTACTGCTCCAGGATTGTCCGGTGCTCAAAGGGCTGAAAAGCCCTTCCATCTGCCTTGAAGAACTTGCTTTGAAACTCCACCCAGTGCAAACGGAGGGTGTGGAGAAAGCACTCCTCGCCAATCGGCCAGCACGCTAAAACTATATGAAGACATTACACCACTTATGAAGCCAGTCACCATCTTACTCTAAGAGCAGCAAGAACAGTATTAATAGTCAATACTAATATTGCTAGTCTAGTAATAACAGTAGTAGTGCAAATAACAGTAATAAGAAGATGGTCGCCAACCCGTTTGTTGACTAATGCGGCAAGGAAGAGGGCCCCGCTTCGGAGGATGTTCCTGGACTATATAACGGAATGAGAAGAATAATATAAGGATATCCCCGTCCCCACATTCTGGGTTGCTGTTAAGGAACTTAAACTAAGTTACCCTTACATAGAGTAATTAGTAGGGTTTCGCCAATACAGTAATTCAAATTAAGTGCCGTCAGCAACCCAGAATACTTGACCCCTAATTACTCCCTTAAACACGAATCTTTCCCCAGTACAATGACATTGATTAGGGAGGTGATTCTGTAGATGCAAAGCGGAAACCTTATCAGGCATTGTCTTCGACATGCACAGCGCGCACCCTGCAGCAAAATCTCAACCCGCAAGAGTCTGTCGGCCCCTCAAACTTAGAACCCTGAAACTTCTTAGCCGGGCAGGTATAGCAAGCAAGCCTTAATCCTAAATGCAAGGGCTGTAGGCTCTGCGTGTGCCTGATATAGCTTCTGATATGGACGTGTTCAAAAGTAGGGGCCCCCCTTGTACAACTTGCGTAATTGACCTGCTTGTTATCGGGAGCCATAATTTTAGGAAAGCCCTTCTAAGAGTCTCCCGAAACACGAGCCATAAGACAACACTATCACCATCTGCACCTATTTTGGGGCAAAATTAGCCGCAGTCCATCACGTCCATCCCGCCCAAGATCGCCAGCGTAACGGCAAACCAGAGACCGAAGCAAACGTACACTGCCTCGGATGAGACGTTCAGTATCGTAGTAGAAGCGAAACCCATATTTCGTGAACGACATGATTCTCCGAAGTTCTTGTGAATGAGATTACTCTACACTTCAGAAGGCAAAACCATACTTCACTTTCCAAGCTAGAGTTTCTAGAACGGAATGGGAAGCTCGGAACCACGCTCTACGTAGCCGCAGAATCACATGAATGGCTCTCCTGGCTGACTCTACCAACTCTACCTTTGACACGGCAAGTGATGGAAAGCTTACAAACAGCTCAAAGGCAGCAAACGGTATCTACGCAGGGAACACAAACCTACCTTCAACTCCGCCACAACACCCGAATGATTTGGCTCAGTGTGACTAATCTATCTGGGCCGCAAGGATGTTCAGCGGCAGCGGCATTGACATGCCCGTAAGCAGAATCAGGTTGAAGAAGACGGACGAGAGCTGCTGATGCGCCAAGGACAGTGCCTTCTATAAGGGCATAAAAAGGCATAAATAATCATCACAGTATGGCTCTAGTAAATGTCGTGTAGAGGCTACCTCGAATAGACCTCCCCATGGTCTTGGAAATTGCTTCGGCCCCTGTATTACGTTGAAGCCGACTGCTTACGCTTACATATAGTTTCCAATACTACTCGTAGCGCATCCCCCTCTCGGCTCAGGTTGTGGCTGCTGTCATTCTGACTGCGCAACGATCAACACAGCGCTCAACAACCCAGAAGCGACAACCCAGAAGCGACACCCTGCTTGAAGAAAAACATCAAAACGTCCCGAAGAAAGCTGAGACACCCAAAGTCGCAAGTATGATGCTGTGTGTGACACCGTCCCTAGCACAAACTCGATGGTCTCGATAACCTGGCTCAAGCTGACAAAACTCGAGTTTGGGTGCTTTAGGGTTAAGGGGTTTACGGTTTAGGGTATTTGGTAAGGCATAAGATGCAGGATCTTCGTACATTTCTGCACGGGCATCTCAAATTTCGGGATGTATTTCTCACCATCATCTGACTCTTGTCTACTGATTTCAGAGCTGTATTTGCCTGCATGATGAGCTCAAGGTGTACTCTACGACCTCTCGGTGGGAAACGCCCGCGCCTGATGAACCAGGCAGTCAGAGAAGTCAAACTTGTCACCAGCGGCCGTGGTCTGCTCAGGCGCCGGAAATGATGAAGGAATTGAGAAATGGATTACTACCATGGATGGAGGAAATCTTTCACCACCTAATATAGCCTATACCCCCCCCATAATTACAATATTTTGTGGATCCTAAGTGGTGTGAGATTTCTTAAATCCACCGTATCTAGGGTTAGTGAGGTATGGAAAAGCAAATGGAAAATGAAACGTAGGGGTTTCGGGCACACCTCCGTGTTGTTAATAGGAAGGGACGAAATTGAAAAAACATGATATTCCGTCCCTCCTTGCTCACAAGCTACAGGACTAGGCAGCACTAAAGGCAGGTGCTCATGAGAGTGGGAGTGGGTGTAGAAAACTAAGACGGTGACTTGTGACAAGAATAACAGGAATGGGTTAATCTTACTGATTAGTGGGGAAAAGGGGAATATAATATGTAGGGATATCGGGATTATGTTCCCTTTTTTCACTAAGAACCAGTAAGCAATGTAAACCTTCTGCAGCTTTGGGATCTGCCTATCAACCAGCCACCGAGAAGCTTAAGCTTGTGGCAGCACGAGCTATGTTTACAAATGACAGTAACACAAACCACAGCCGGAAACAAAGTAGGTGGCTTGTCCCACCACCCCGACAACGATAACGTGAAACGCAGGATGATCATGCTAATGACAACAACAGCTTCAATAGCTGTGGCAGCACCATTGCATGTTGTGGCCCAAGCCCTACCTTACCCCAAGTCAACATGGAACCTCACAAGGACTGTCAAGACTACCCGTCCTTATCGGGGGGCTGTATGGGGTCTTATTTTAGCTTGAAGGAATACCTTCCCACCCCAAACCTTTTTTGCAACAGTCTTTCTGATCATGCGTAACCACCCTAAACCCTACAAGCTCAAATACTTGGAGGGTGGGAAGAGGTAGACCCTTCGCGACCAGCCTGATCAATGGGCTGCTGCTCAATGTCTCGCAGCCTGGAATCGATCATGCTGCTGTTGATGCACGGGCTGCACAACACATAGCTTAGGTGGACCCCTACCCTGTAATAGTGGCTATAAGGGATGATGGTGATTATGTCAGGATGCTCTCATATTCCTACTTACCACTATTACAAGGTCGGGGGGCTCCACCTAACACATAACTGACTAGTTGTCAAGCTTTTTGCCATTCTTGGGGTCAGGGGGTTTAGCGTTTATGGTGTAGGATGGCGATGAGCAGCATCCTCTGCCAACACTCATGGCTCTCATACATTTTTTGGGCGGCGCATTGGATTACACTTTTTGAGTCTATATACACCCATAAAATTTAGTTTCCATTCCATTTTCCATTATTGGGGCAATAATACCAGTATATGTATATGTATACATATATGTATATATGTATATTCTGTATACAAGCTCTATGGAAATCTTCTGTTCAAGCAGCCCGAAGCAGTTGTGTACAATCACTAGTCTAAACCAGGAGACGTACTGCGACTACTGCCCCCAGCAGCTTTCAATCTGGGGGGTATATAGGGTGTAGGGGTCCCTATGAAGGGTATACAGGCTTTCAAAAGGGGCTTTAAAGCGGCTATTTGGGGGCTATGTAGAGGTTATTTGGGGATATGTGAGATCCATTAGGCATATAGATTCGTAAGTCGCCATTAAAAAGCCCCTGTTTGAGCCCCTAGGCCTTAACCTTGAAACCCTCAAAACCCTTAACGCCAACTCCCTAACCCCAAGCAGCCAGCTTCCGAGAAGTGCTAGGCCTTCTATCCCTGAACTCCCTTCTCCCTAAAGTCGCCTAGCTTTGACCCTATTTGGACGTTTGCGAGACTTTTTAAAAAATCGGAAAAAATGGGCTTCGAACCGGGATATAAGTCTACTTACAAACACCCTTACTGGCCTTGTAAGGCTTACCCAAGCAGTATGTATGGTTATAAATCCAGGTTATCAGCGGTTACTTAACCCAATGAACCTGCAAGTGGTAGTTGCCCTAGATTACTGTTCCCAAAATGGAGAAATTTATATAGGGCCCCGTATTATAATGGGAGCCCAAATATAGGACCCCGTATTATAAGGAATTTAGACCAATACCCAAGTGGGGCACCGCCTCAGGTGACGAGCGGGACTTTCAGGGCCAGAAAGCAAAAGCACAGCCTTGCTTCAAAAGAAACGCGCTACAGGGATGCGTACAGGTCTTACGAACGTGTAGGGGCCTAAACCAAGTATATAGATAAATATGACCATATGTAAATGCGGAGATATGGGGGTGTGCCGAAAAGGGCAGTTGTCGCGTTCCGCACCACAAGCCTTCTGTTACATGCCCCTTGAAACGCCAGTATGTTACATACCCCTTGTCGCGCAGCCTTC